CCTAAGTATTTCATCTTTTGAGTGGTTGTCTCGGTTCTCTAGTGCTGCTATAACATAAATACCACTAGTGGATGGCTTTACCAAACAGGAATTTATTCATTTACAGTTTAGGATGCTAGAAGTCCCTCCATCTTGGGCTTCAGCTCTGCCTCTTGTTCCAGGCCCACTGGAGCTGGAGCTGTCTTCTAACTCAGGCAGCTGCTGGCTGCTGAGGCTGATAAACCCAAGAGCAGCAGGTAAAATGACATAATCGCAAGAACAGCAAACAACATGGCCAGCACTGGCTCAAGCCCAGGAACTGGAGATGAAGACGCCGCCAATGCAGAATCCAAAATGTGCCGAGAAGCTAGAGACCTCTCTCAAAACTTCTCCTTATATGCTGGAAGCAGGCCACACCCCGAAGGTAATTCTCCTTCAACTACTTACCTGCTCAAAGCAGATCCATGGAGGTGATTACAATCTCATCATGGGAAATAACTATATCTACTTGCCAAGCTGCTCAAAACCATGGCCCAGCCAAGCTGACACACACCCTTAACTACCACGGTGGTTATTGTAAATGGTATTGCTTTCCTGATTTCCTTTTCAGAGTTTTCTTCACTAGTATAAAGGAATCTGACTGATTTTGGTATGTTGATCTTTTACCTTACCACTCTGCTGAAACTATCATTCAGTTTCAGAATTTTCTTACTGAATCTTTGGGATTTTTCTAGGTATAAGATCATATCATCTGCAAACAGGGATAGTTTTATTTCTTCTTTGTCAGTTTGGATGCTTTTTATTTCCCTTTCTTGCTTTATTACTCTGGCAAGGACTTCCAACACAATATTGAATATAAGTTGAGCATCTTTTTATATGCCTGTTGGCCATTTGTATTTCTTCTTTGGTGAGAAGTCTATTCAAGTCTTTTACCCATTGTTTGATTGGGTTGTTTATCTTTTGTTGTTAGGTTGTAGAAGTTCATTATATATTCTGAGTGATTAGTCTTAACTGACTGATTGCACCCCATCCTTATGGCATAGTGCATAAAGCATTTGACTGCTAATTAGAAGGCTGGTGGTTCAAACCCACCAGCCAGCCAC